CAAAAAGAAGAAACTCATAAAATCGGTAGTGTTGAAGCGCCTTCAAGGTAAAATTGACTAAGAATTAAGATGACAAATTTAGATATTTATTAAAGTTTGAAACAGAAAATATAATAGAATATGGAATTAATTACAATTATTGCGAAACAGTTTTTTTTCATGTAAGTATACATACATAGGTAGGTAATGCTAGTTAAGTTAAAAATAATAAGGACAGTTACAAGAAGTAATGACGTACATTTAACAATAACTTGATGAAAAACTTAAATCGTAAATAAAATGACAAAAGAGGTCCTTTTCTCACAATCCAAAATCGTTGTTAATCTAACAAGTGAGGAAAGTGTTTCTGCACGTGATGGAAGTTGCACGAATGACAACAAAAAGCAGAGTTCGGACAAGCCTTTAAGTCCAGAAAATACACTTTCCGCATGTGTTAGGTAGAAAGTTTATGTAGTTATACATAATATAAAGCTCATTCAAGAAACTGATTTCGCCTGGATGATATTTTTGATAATAGTCTATACCCTTTACCACTAGCTTTAAGCAAAGACAACGCCAACAACTTCTCGTCCAATGTAAATCGTCTAACTTTAGGCTTTTGGTTTTGAGTACGGACTTGACTGTATATCAATGGATTGACGTGGTCTACGAGCATTTGAAATTTAGTTTATGATGCAAGTTATTCAGCAGCAGAAACTTTGGATTTAAATGACGACAACCTTCTACTGATTCTTCTTAACTTATTGCTGGATTCTATAACTTTGGAATAAAGATATTTTTCCCTTGGGGATAGGAATTTTTGCCTAGTGACGTTAATGTTCTTTAAAATTTGGCATCGTCTCTCATGACCTGCAAAAAAAAAATAGATCAAGATTGGAGACGAGCTTTTCGAACATTTAGCTTCTAATTTTTCTAGCATTCGACTGCAAGTTTTAGTAATTAGTAGTCTTTTATAGTAGTAGTCCTACTTGAGTTAGGATATTTTAAAATTCACCTACTCCCAACTGGGTGGTTATTCATTAAGCAATAACACTTAGGTACCTACCAATAAAAGTTTTAAGAGACAAAGTTGGTTGGTGACTTTTTCATGTTTGCAGATGTGATGGTTCCACTTGGTGTAGCAATGTCTGCCCGAATTGCAGAAGTTTCAGTAGATAAAAATTGACGACATGAAGGGCCTGGTTGATCTAAAACAGAAATTTCGTTATCAATGAATCTACCAAAAAAGTTTGGATACACGCATTGTAGAATATGGTGTACCTGTATGTAACCAGGAATATTTTAATTATTATGTCTCCTGATAAAGGAATAAACATTTAAAAAAAAGAAATGAATAATATTAGCTTTGTTCCAACATAGCAGTAAACCGTACAATGTACCGTCACGATTCTAAGCAGTAACTAAAATTGTTATACTGAGTGGTTTCGAAACCGAGTTATTATGTTTACCTACCTATGTCAATCATAGTTGCGAAACTAATTTCTGAAGGCGTCTTAGGACTCTTCGACGAGTTTCAACTGTGTCGATCTCCACTTTTTGCCATTTTGGTGATTGTGGTTTATCAATTAACGACTCCTCACTGTTTTTGATAATTGGGGCTAAAATTAAAATTAATTTTAATGTTTCTGACCTATGCTCCTTTAAACCCGAATTCTAACACGTTGTCGTTAATCAGAACTATGGGGAGGAGTAAGTCAAAATTTAAGTACGTCTTTCTCACATATATCTAGTATTAACTTACCTTCAGGGAGATACAGCAAAAGCGCAGCATTCCATGTGAGTCCTCGTCTGGCTTTTGGATCGCCAACAATAAATTCTTGAGGAAAGTGTCTTGTTCACACTCTATAATTATTATAAGCCTTCTCGACACTTAGGCTATTTAGTAAAGGATTGCGAACTTTTATTAGCCATTGTTCCATTTTTTCGGCATCTTTTGGAAAGCGGAAATAGCTACTGTATTTGTCGCCGCACCCCGGAACACAGCATTTCTGATGCTTTTCAATTAACAAACTGGGAGAAGACATTTTGAGATAATAATTATTGATAATTGATAGGTAATTGATAATTCTAAATGTTGGGAGAAGTTCAAAATTTAAATTTTGACGACTGGAAATGACAAAATAAACTTCAAATCTTGGCGCACGGTCCGGCAGGAAAAAGAAAACTTTAATAGGTTGATTGAAGCGCCTCTAGTGATTGGAGGGGAAAGCTGAAACGACTAGACTGACGTCTCTCATAAGACTTACATTTCTAAGGGGGGATGTTTTGTGTACCCATCCTCAATGCTGTCAATTTTCAGTCTGCTGTGCGTGTAGTACGGTCACATACCGTGCATTCGGTATTTTGATCTGAATTCTCTGAGCATAAATTTACCGTTCGTTTATTCAAAAAGTGTACTCGGTGCAGGCTCATTCACGTTCGTTTAATAAAATTTCGAGCCCGCTGATACAGCGTTTAACTGCTCTGTGCGCTCGCTGGTCACGTGATTACGGCTCCACTCTGCTCTTTGAGCAAAATACCGAACGCAAGGATAACCTAAATTAATTTTTAAACGTACTGCATATGACATAAGTCGGCACGTATCGAAAAAGCTGGCAGCTTGCAAACTTCACTTTGGAGTCGACGTGCATGCCAGCACGGAATTGAATTGAGGATGCCAACGTTAAACAACATTTTCCTAGCTTGCGTGCCGAAGTACCACTTCGCTACTAAATTGATTGAGGATGAGCCTTTACTTGATTAATAATGGTTCTAATGTTCTAAAGCGAAATAGTAATCGTTAACGCAGCTCAAAAATTCAACATGATTTATCAAGTAGACAAACTAATCGCGGTGATTCTGGTCTAGAGCAGAAAACACTATCTAAACATGAATCTTTCAATTTTGAAACTGATAATGATGGTATTGTTGCAGAGTCCTGTATCATTGAGAATACTAGGGCAAAGAAATTTTACAGTGTCTCACCAGGTGAAAATCAGAGATATACAAGGTCCAATGGTAATAATAAGAAACCCTCTCAGTAAACCTGATTGTGTTATGTATTGATAATATCCGCGGTGTTCGTCCTAATGTATTCCCATAAATCCGTGAAGGGTGAGATGTAGTAATAGTCATTAACGTTAGTTGTCAGTTGACAGTTGTCATAAAATTATAAAACTGTTTAGTAGCAAGAGTTCATTGGGATCAAGCTTGCTTTATTTAGAAAATATCTATAATAATAAAGATTTTTACGTATTTTAGAGCCCTATTTTCAAGATCCAAAGTGTTCTAAACTAGTTGAAAAGAGTTCGGAAAGGTTTCCAGTTCCAAATTGAATTCTAATGGTTCTGAAAAAACTCTACTGAAACTGTAACTTTTAACCTGAATCCTAAGATTCTGGCGCTTTTCAAAATGTTTCTGAAGATTTAAGTGTTTTGGAGCGTCCTAAAATGGGTTTCAAACTACTAAAACGCTTTTGGAAATTGTAAATGGGTTTTTGAATGTTCTACAGCATTCTAAAATGGATCAGAACTTTTCAAATTGTTCTGAAGCGCTATAGAATACTTTTGGAAATTCTGAATGGAATTTCAAGTGTTTTGAACTTTGCTTAAAAACGTCTCTAAGATGTCCACAAACAACATTCAAGACGTTTTTTACATGTCTGCTTACATGTTCAAGGCATCTTTAAGACGTCGTATGTTACAAAGCCCAACGTCTTTCAAACGTCTGCCTAAAAACGTTTTTATGATATTTGTCCAAGACATTCTAAAGGCGTCTTCAACGAGATGTCTTAGAGACGTCTTTGAATCCCTTTTCAATAGGTACCTAATCCATTATTCACTTTTCGACCCGCAGGCTTATTCTCTATGAACAGCAACTACATAGCAACCAGTAACCGGTTGCAAGTTTGCATTTTTTGAATAGAAAACTCGCGTTTGACAGCGACTGGACAGTGACAATTGCGCAATTCTCTCGGTCGCAAGTTACAGAATAAGGCTGTAAGGCAATAAGGTTGTACCAAATAGTGTGGCTCAGTTGTCTTTAAGATGTGAATTTAAGACATCTTATATGATATGCTTTTGCTTTCGGCTCTACACCCATTGAGATTTTCAAAAGTCGGGCCTGGATCCTAGCCCGGAAGACCGAAGAGGATGTGATCGAAACGTCAATTAAATTTTGAATTTTGAATAAATCATGAAAAACTATAGTTCAAAAGCTAGTGATTTGAATTTCCTCTACGAAAATAATTTATTTTTATTTTAATGTCAAGGTTCCAAAACAACATTTTTACCATATTCTCATAATACCTATTATCGATGTTGTAATTTCACCGTTGTTAAAAGGATCATCATTACTGGAACTGGATATTGAAATCGTAATAATTAAACGATGCCATAGCACATTATTACTAAGCAAATACTGAACCATTACCATACATATAGCAAAAAACTCAAAAGAACGACCTCCAATGATACACAAGAATTATTTTCAATTTTCTAATAGAGTACCTAATTATACAGACGACAACAAAAATGCTTTAAAAAAGCCGATTTTTTTAAAAAGTAAATTGCTGTGGCCAATTAAAAAAATTAAAAGGATGTACCTACATACCTATACAACATTTTATTTATACTGATTAACGATTAACGATAGTTTATTGTTCTTCAATTAAATACACAGTCGTGTTTGTTTTCATCAATTGAATAATTATGTAGGAATAGTTGATGAGGTTCGATCCAAAAGTGTATAAGATTTAGAGTTTTTATTGGTTATTCGTATAATTTGTGATAAATATATGTAAGTGAGCACACCCAAAAAAAAAAAATCGGTGGGAATTACACCTTAATGCACTCGCAACGAAATTAAGCACTTATTTTTTAATGAAATTAAATTAACGCCGGCCAAGCAGTAGATCTTGAGATTGCAAGGTTAAGACCACTTATTAAGAAATACCCAATATTGTTCAAAAAAGAGTCTGAATTTTGTGTAAACAGTCCAATTTGTATGATCCGCGCAGCAACATGAAACTAAAGACAATTTTCTCGGTTCTTATTTGGTTTTTGGCCAGTGCGGTTTTGTGCAACAGTCAACTTACCGATTTTTTTCGAAGTTTTCGCGGATTGTTTGGTGGCGAACAGAATACCATTGAAGATGAAAAAACTATATATGACGAGTATGATTTTGTTGTTATTGGAGCAGGTTAGTAAGAGAATTTTGTTTTTCTAAAAATATGTAGATACCTACATATTTATATCGTAATCCTGAGGCTTACAGCCTCCAACCATTAAAACCTCGATGATTAAAACAAACTCATTAGTCTACTGGATTTAGAACCATCTTTCCAGTATATAGGTACCCGTGATAATACGAACATTTATTTTAGAATTCATAAACTTGAACACCCTAAACTAGCTCATTCACGATCATTCTCGCTCATCTGGTGAGTTTTAGAATTTGATGAGCAGTGTGCTCTTTATATGTTTTTACTTGGTTTTGCAAATGTCTAAACCAAATTCCCAACACTTTGGTCGGCGCCATGAATACAGAAAAGAAACTAGAAACGTGAAATACATTGAATGTTTGGGCTTTGCCAGTTCTATTTTCGTTCTAGAAGTTTCTGGAACATGTTGAATAAAAATCCTTCAACTATTTCTGGACCTCGCCAGTCGCCACCTCTATAATACTATCCTCGATAACTAATCAGTAGAAATTGAACATCATTTTGGTCAAATTCAGGTTCCGGTGGATCCGTTGTAGCCAATCGTCTCACTGAAAACCCCTCTTGGTCGGTTCTCCTTCTCGAAGCAGGCAAAGATGAGATCTTCCTCACCGACGTACCGCTCACAGCCTCTCTACTCTCCATCACCGGCTACAATTGGGGCTACAAAAGCCAAAAACTGTCCACAGCTTGTTTGGGGCTAGTGGACCAGAGGTGCAATTTGGCCAGAGGCAAGGGACTAGGAGGCACTAGCCTCATTAACTTTTTGTTGTACACCAGAGGAAACAGGAAAGATTTTGATTTGTGGGCGGAAATGGGTAATGATGGTAAGGCTTAGATTTCAATAATATTTAAATATGTAGCCATATAATATTTATGTATGTAGGTTGGAGCTATAAAGAAATTTTTCAATACTTTGTGAAATCAGAAAATTGCTCCTCATGTGAAAATATAGATGAAGATTATCACGGAAAATCTGGATATTTGAACGTAGAACATCCAGGATATGAAAGCCCTTTTGTGAAGTTATTTATAAAAGCTGGACAAGATATGGGATATAGACACAATGATCCAAATGGAATGTATGGACTGGGTGTGTTAAATCTATTTCAAATTATTTATAATTATAATAATATTATTTAAGGATTTTCTAGAGCCCAAGCCACAATGAATCGCGGTCGTCGTTGTAGCGCCTCAAAAGCATTTCTTCGTCCAGTTGCACACAGACAGAACCTGCACATTTCCGTTCAAACCAGGGCAACCAAAATTTTGATTAATCCCGAGACTAAAGAAGCAAATGGAGTAGAATTTTACAAAAATAAAATCAAATATGTTGTAAAAGTGAGGAAAGAAGTAATTCTGAGTGCTGGTACCATAAACAGTGCGCAACTATTGATGTTAAGTGGCGTAGGCCCTGGCGAACATTTAGAAAGTAAAGGAATTCAAGTTTTGTCAGATTTGCGTGTGGGTTATAATTTTCAAGATCATATGGCAATGTCCACGATACCCTTTCTTGTAAATGAAAGTGTAACAGGTAATATTATTGAACTGAAGTTAAAAGAAGATATATTTTTAAATTGTTTCTAGTTTCTGATATAAGTGTTCAAAATCCTCAAGATATTTATAATTTTCTAACAAGAGGAAAAGGTCCGTATACGATACCTGGAGGTGCAGAGGCATTGGCTTTTATAAAATCGAAATATACTAGAGAAAAAGATGACGATTATCCTGATGTGGAATTGGTATTGGGAGCTGGTGGGTTGAATGGGGATGTTTTTGGTGGATTCAGGACACTCTTAGGTCAGTTGGACAGTATTTTCATGATACATTAACACTTGAAGGCTGTTTTATTAGGAATTCCTGAAAGCACATCACGAAAAGTATACGCGCCATTACTTGGCAAGCCGTCATTCAGTATAGCTACAGTGATTTTGAGGCCACAAAGTAGAGGAAGGGTTTATTTGAAAGATGCGAATCCGTTTCATTGGCCGATCATTGAGCCGAACTATTTTGCAGAAGAGCGCGATGTGGATACTATGGTTGATGGAATTAAAACTGTAAGTATAGTATAGTAAAAGTCAATAAGGATTTTGTATGTGAGACATCTCTTGTGATTGATGACAGGTACTGGCTCCAAGAGGTGACCGCATAGCAAAAAACACATAAAGCTAGGGTAAACTAATCAGGGAAGTTGTGCAATTGGAAAGTTCGAGGTCAATGAAACCGCCATCCATTTATTATTTGAGATATCATAAGCTCCTACTTTTGGGTTACAGAAAAAATCTGACCTGAACTCCCATATTGGCGCAGTGGAGATTGATTGATTTGAGAGGGGAGCGTTTACAGACAGCACGTTGCGCGCATGTGGGTCATTGTGCTATTCCCCTCTTGGTGCAGCCCTGTCTTACCTTAGGAGCCCGCAACTTTTAAGAAAGGTGCAGACCCGCTCAGGTGGGACAAGCTTTATTTCATAAAGTTTCAGAAACCTGCACCTACCCGAAGTATTGTATTCTGTGACTGACGAGGACGTCACATTTGCATACTATATGCTTGGTAGTTTCATCTACTTCGATGCAGAATCTGCATTCCGTCTATTTCACTGAGTCCGATTTTGTGCAAGTGGTATCTGACCACCAAGTGCCCCTTCAGGACGCCTATATAGCTCTTAGTTAGCTCCTGTTTAGTTTGAGAAGGCTTTTTGCCTCTCTGCAGTTTGAGGGACCTTGTATAAATATACTTGACTGTCTGAGACCTCTTTGATTCAGCCATTCGTCTTGGAACTGGTTGTTGGACCAGTTCCTGATTTTGGTTTTCACCAGGCAGGAGGCAACAAGTGCAGGCTCTGGCCCAATAAAGGTAGTGCTGCTACCTTCACATCAGCTGGTCTGCCTACTCGTTGCCTTTTATCCCCGTGTGACCCGGGACTCAAACAAGGATGTCCTTGTTGAGCCCACTGAGTAGTTCTAGGGTTGTCATACAGTCAAGCGTGAGCCTTGAGTTGACCTTGTCCGCAAAGGGCTCGGAGTGCTGCCTAACTATGTCGCTGCATATATGAATGAATAGGCTTTCCCGAATAACCACTCTGGAGAACTCCTGAGCCCATACTTGTATGGCGTAGATCTCAGTCTGGTATACTGTTGGGAATGGACCCAGTGCAAAACTGATTCTCGCCACAGGTCTCTCCCCATATACACCAGCTCCTGCACCCTCTCTCATCAGAGACCAGTCTTATACCAGATGAACCCCTTCGGCTTGAGGAAACCTGAGTCAACCATAGCCAGTATTCCCTTGCAGGGATGATGACCTTGTATTGTCTAGGGGGGCTGAAATTTTTGGGACATTGCATCCCTTGTGAGAAGGGGTCCTGTCTGAAAGTAACAGTCCAGGCCCTTGCATGTCCCATGTTCAGCCCTCTATGAAAATATTGTCCCAAAATCGTTGCGTCTGACTGAAGCCTCCCGGGCCATTGCCTCCATAAAGAGATGAAGTCTTGATCCAATGAACGTGAGCCCTCCAGGCCTACGTTTGTTCGCTTTGTAAATGGTACTACTTCAGTCTTGTTCTGTTCGGATTTACCGAGAGCTCGTGAATATTACACCATCTTTCGAACATGTTAAGAGCTCTTTGCATGATCCCATTATTAGCGCTGGGTACGTTTCACGAGGGTTCATACTTTTTGCCTTCCTTTTTTAACAAATAGAAATTGATGCTTCTATTGTTATGCTAGTTATGATATTATAAGATTAATGGTGTTTTCTTCATAAATTGCTACTTATCTTTATCTTCCTTTCCCCTATAGGAGATTTATTCATCCATGAAAATAAAAGGGATGAGGAACTCAATGCAATTTAACAAACAATAAGCAGCACTAAAAAGGAAGCAAAATTGGCAGAGCATAAGAAAGACTTCCTTCTCACTATAACAGAATATGTCAATCCAATGCAGAACTCAAGTAAAATTCGATATTATATTAAAAAAGGCAGTGAATAAAAGTCCGCGAGTCGAGGAACTTCAATATATTGTATAAAGGTTCGCGAGTTGTGAAAGTAACATATTTAATATAAATCCGCAAGTAGCGGACCTTTACTTTATTGTTTAAAGGTCCGCGATTGGCGCACGGAATATCTCCACTAGATTGGTGAATCGATAACATAGCCTATTTATGTTCAATTTAGAACAGGCCTCCTAGACAGAAAATGCAGACTTACCCAAAATAACCAGTCCACCTGGTGCTATCTAAGTCCTTGTAAGTTAGCATTTTATTTTAAAATAAATCGCGCTCAAGGGACGCTATGCTCTAAACTAAATTAACTTTTTTTTTTTTTAATAAAAGGGTATCTTATGAGGACTAGGACTAGATGCCACTAGATGGTCCGGTTAGTTTGGGTAAGTCTGCATTTTCTGTCCAAAAGAAAAAAGCTATTCATGCTAAAAAAAATTGAATTAAAAACATTTTAAAAAAATATTGAAACTTATGTTTTCGAAAAATGAATATGAACCCTAGACCCTGATTAGCTGATCAATCAGTGATCGGCTGGATGGAACGCTGGAACTGACAATATAAAAATGACAGGAGATGCGCGCGACACCGAAGCCCTGTGACCGGGATCCGGCTAATGTCTTGTCCCTACCGCAGCCACGACGATGATAAAATCGCCCGCGTATCCTTGAATGTAATGTCGCAAAATGTGGCGCCTCCGCCAGGGTGTATAGAATTGGACAGCTGATTCTAGATTCTACAGTGCTATTTGGGAAGAACGCCTGTCGCGATTATTCTGGATTTTACAAGAATAGATAAAGGATATATAGAGTCCGGTATTAGTTAGTAGTTTTCAGATGAGGATTGGCTGATACGTAAGAGTTGTAAAGAGTTAAGTTGTTTGAATTAATTAGTGATATAATTAGTGTCAGAGTGTGTAGTAACGTGGAATAAATTATTGTGGTGTTAATTGGACTTTGGAATAAACGGACCCAAGATTTCTGTCGCGCACCGCAGAGCCGTGACATTGGTTTCAGAAGTGAGATATAATTCGAGTACTGCAAAGTGAAATCCGATTGCGGAATAGTCTGCACAGTGTGAACACTAAGTAAACACTGGAACAGTTAGTCAGTACAAGCAGTGACAATCACAAAAAGCGACTTACCTGATTATGTTAATTACCCCGAATCCCCGAAAGCGTCTGTATACCCGATTTCGACTGTGATAGTGAATTTCTAGAAAATTCTATTTGGAAACCAAGGAAGATATCGAATTTGTTACTTCGCGACGTATTTGATACATCAATCGTCATTCAGAAAAAGAATTTTGAGGAATTTCGGGAAAATTCTAGAACATTCTATTTGGAAATCAAGGTAGATATCGGATTTGTGACGTCATCGACGTATTTGGAACTTCAATCAAAGACCAGGAAAGATATTTGAAAAGCGTTTGAGGGAAATTTCAGAACATTCTGTATATGCCTATTACGAGACAACAAGCAAAAATGGAAGAACAAAAAATTGAAGAAATTTTGCGCAAAATGTTGGAACTTCAAGAGACCAAACGAAGAAAAAAAACAAGTCTAAGAAGCTAGGCGACAAAAAGAAAAACAAGAAGAAGAAGCTAAACGACAAAAAGAAAAACTAGAAGAAGAAGCTAGCGACAACAAGAAGAGGCTAAACGACAAAAAGAGAAACAAGAAGAAGAAGCTAAACGTCAACAAGAAAAACTAGACGAAGAGGCTAGGCGACAAAAAGAAAAACAAGAAGAAGCCAGGCGACAACAAGAAAAGCAACAAGAAGAAGCTAAACGACAGATAGAAAAACAAGAAGAAGAGGTCAAACGACAACAAGAAAGGCAAGAAGACATTGGACAACAGCAGAAAATATTTCAAACTATACAAGGATCTGTCGCTAACCTAGCACAAAAGATTAAGGAAGTAAAAGCCGAAGTTATGGACGATGTTCAAGAAGTTAAAACGATCTTCAGTCAGTTAAGGACAATGTTCAAGAAGTTAAAGACGATGTTCGAGAAGCTAAAAATGACGTTCAGGGAGTGAAAGCTGAGGTCAAAGCCGATGTCCAGCAATTAAGACAAGAAGTTGAGGACCAAGTTCAAGCACTTTAAGATAAGGTGAATAAATTAGAAATACAGTCCATCAATCCAGGTAGTGTTGGAGCATCCTCTAGTATAAAGAAAATATCACCAACTTTTAACGATTATACATCCTTAAATTTGGTGATGAAGAATTTGTCCTAACTACACAAGAAGAATTTCAAGCCGTTAAGATCCTGGCCACAAACCCGGTGAGGATTCCTGGAAGTACTGAGAAGATCATTTGTGGAAAATTGCAAACAAATCCTGGGTGTTAGTCCAACGACTAACACATAATTTTATTGGAGATAAACCAGAAAAATGTCTCTTTGAAAAGACTCTAGTAAGAACAGATAGAGATATTATGATAAGAATTGCCAATGTTTCTTCTGAAACAGTAAAAATAAAGGAAGGAGATATTATTGGAACTCTCGAACCAGTTGAGCAAATATCGAACTGTGACCTATCAGATAAGTGACATTTTGTAAAACCGAAATTGGATACAGACACCTTGATGCAGACTGGAGAAATCATGTAAACACCTCGATCCAGTTAGACTTCAGGAAGCCACAGATTTCATCTTGAAAGAAGCATACGTATTTGTGATGGATAATCAAACCGCATGGACCAGTTTAATTCAACATAAAATTGATACTGGATTGGCACACCTAATTAGACAACCACCTCGACGTATGCCAGTAGCTAAACAATAGGAAGTGGAAAACCAAACTGATGAATGCTTCAAGAGAGAATTATTGAAGAGTCAAATAGTCCATGGTCTGCGCCAGCAGTATTGCTAACGAAGAAAGATGGAAGTCTTAGATTTTGTGTGGACTACCGTAACCTTAATGACGTCATTAAGAAGGACAGCTTCCTTCTCCCGAGGATAGACGATACATTAACAACTCTATCGGGCTCCAAATGGTTATCTCCCTTGGATCTTAAGAGTGGATACTGGGAAGTGGCAATACACAAAGATGACAA